TTTGGAGATTTTCTTCCCAGCCAGCCAGTGCAGTATTGCAGGCAGTTTGGTATCCACTTCTGTCTGTCATCGTTCCCCGCTCGTCCTTGTTGCATTGCATCCAGCTCGCAAAGGCTTCCGATCACTGGCAGGCCGTAACGCTGGTGGTGGCTGCGGGCCAGAATCTTACCTTGCCTTCTCCAACTTCTTTCATCGCTACTGGGAGTATATATAATGGCAAGCTGACCCTCCGCTTTATAGGTCTACAAGATCCTTCAGTTCTTTCTCTCTCACTCAATCCATCCATCAAATTATCAGTCAATTTGACTCTACTCTTTCAAAATGGTATTTATGCGCTCCGTCTCCCGTCAACTTCGACGGCCTGCGACTTCTCTTCTTTCAAGCAGAGGCCCTCTCGCATCGGCGGGCAGCAGTCCCTTTTGGACCTCGCCTTTGGCCAACTCCATTGCTGGTGCACGTACGCTAACCGCCTCGGCCAATCTACAGGGCAAGGTTCTTATGGTTCTCTATGACGTAAGTCCGTCTTCGGCTTCGGCCTCGGCCCTGATCCATCAATGACGACAAAACATCAACTAACAAACAATGATTAGGGCGGTGAGCACGCCAAGCAGCAGCCTGGTCTTCTGGGTACCACGGAGAACGAGCTTGGTTTGAGAAAGTGGCTGGAGGACCAGGGCCACACTTTGGTCACCACCTCTGACAAGGAGGGTGAGAATTCCACTTTCGACAAGGAGCTCGTTGATGCCGAAGTCATCATCACCACCCCGTATGTGGCTTCCCTTAACATAACACTTCCCGTTATGCCCCCTCCCCCCCCAGCAACACTTTTAGCCACTAACTTGGTCGGTTCAGCTTCCACCCCGGTTACCTCACCGCGGAGCGTTTGGCCAAGGCCAAGAACCTCAAGATCGCCGTCACTGCCGGTGTTGGCTCCGACCACGTCGACCTCAACGCCGCCAACAAGACAAATGGCGGTATCACTGTTGCCGAAGTCACTGGCTGCAATGTTGTCTCCGTTGCGGAGCACGTTGTCATGACTATCCTCACCCTGGTCCGCAACTTCGTTCCTGCCCATGAGCAGATCCGTAACGGCGAATGGGACGTTGCTGCCGTTGCCAAGAACGAGTACGATTTGGAGAACAAGGTCGTCGGAACTGTCGCTGTCGGCCGCATCGGTGAGCGTGTCCTGCGCCGTCTCAAGCCTTTCGACTGCAAGGAGCTGCTCTACTACGACTACCAGCCTCTCTCCCCTGAGGTCGAGAAGGAGATCGGCTGCCGCCGTGTTGATGACCTCGAGGAGATGCTCGCTCAGTGTGATGTCGTTACCATCAACTGCCCTCTGCACGAGAAGACTCGTGGTCTGTTCAACAAGGACCTCATCTCCAAGATGAAGAAGGGTAAGATGCCTCTTTTCGAATCGGCATAGAATCTCAGACACTAATACAACTCTCCAGGCTCTTGGCTCATCAACACCGCTCGTGGTGCCATCGTTGTCAAGGAGGATGTCGCCGAGGCCGTCAAGTCTGGTCACTTGAGAGGCTACGGAGGTGATGTCTGGTTCCCTCAGCCCGCCCCCAAGGATCACCCTCTGCGCTACGTCCAGGGCCCCTGGGGCGGCGGCAACGCCATGGTTCCCCACATGTCCGGTACCTCCATCGACGCCCAGATCCGTTATGCCAATGGCACCAAGGCTATCCTCGAGAGCTACTTCTCCGGTCGCCACGACTACAGAAACGAGGACCTCATCGTCCACAATGGTGACTATGTCACTCGCGCCTACGGTCAGCGCAACAAGGCTTAAACCCCGGAGGACATTAATATGAAATACATGACTCGAATAGTTCGGCAGATGTTCCTGGTTTGAACGTCTCCTTGACGATTTAGCTATTTATGATACCTTCAAAATACAAATACCTTCAGTTCAAATTTCTTTGCGCATGGCATCGGGCTGTTTCCGAAGCTGCCCCACACCTTCGTAAGCTTGGAATGTTGAGCACTGACATAAGACTTTTCTGGCGATGCCTTGACAGTAGTCTATATCTGGATTCCTTCCGCAATAAGATAACTCCCCCGTGCCGCCGCAATGGACCCATTCATCCGGAGTTGCGGTATTCATGCAGCACCTAGGCTCTGAATTTTGTGTTCTGTGCGAGTCAATGGCCGCTTCAGCCTACTAGACTCTAATTTTAAATCAACTTTGCTACATAACATAACTTATACGGGTGGTTTCCACTTCGAGCACTGTAGATATTGTGGCCCATCTGGCTGCGCAAAGATGTGATGACATCCTCAGTGACATGTGGGAGTGAGTTAGTGACAGCATTCCGTAAATATCTCTATAGGTATTAAGGCATGGGAAGCGGATTATTGCCAAAACTAGCGTCGACACTGCGGATGGTCCTCTTCTTCGTCCTCACTGTCATCCATGAACCCGGCCTCAAGTTCCCGACTGAGTCGTCTCCCAGAGTCGACGACTGAGTTGCGTTGCCGTTCGAGGGCCCCTCTTCGCTCTACATCCATGTCCATCCCCACCATAATCTCGCCCTCTTCATCGTATATACTGATGTTGTCGTCCTGGTCGGCTAGATGCTGCCGCTGCCACGATGAGGGCAAGAACCGGCGCATGATGGCATCGGCGATACGGTCCCGAAGGGTCAACGTGTGGGCGGAGATCGTGTGGAGCGGCAGATACTGCGAGTATCGTTGATGATAACGTCGAAAGAAGGGGATGATCACGAAGGAGAAAAGGAGATAAAGGGTGAGCGAGATCACCGCGGGGATGATCATCGTCTGCGCAAGGAAGCCGTCTGTTAGGGCCGTGACGAGTCAGATATGAGGACTGATGGAGGAAGAGGTTCACCTTTGCAAAATTCGATGCGGAACCCATCTTGGCCTGCAAGTGTCCGTCCGGGCCCGAGGAAATCGGCGCTTGTCGTGTGTCGTCTACTCTCCAGCAGAAAGAGGAAGCGGAAGCGGAAGAGGAGGAGGAGGAGGAGGAGGAGGAGGAGGAGGAGGAGGAGGAGGAGGAGAAGGAGGAATAGGAGAAGGCAGCAGCAATCGCAAGCGGGTGAACAATGCACGACGCAAGGCTGTGTGATCCAATCCCCAAAAGACAGAAAATTAAACTGCCATAGTAACCAGAGATCTCCACAGATACAGAGGTTCAACCATCCGGGAAATTTAACAGCACAGTGGAACGGCACATGGTCTGGTCTGGCTATTATTTTATTCTTTCCACTCACCTGCTCCGATGAGGCCGCCGATAACCTCCGTGCACGTGATACCGTCATGGCAGTCCCACCTTCGAGTAACTTAGTACCCAGGGCTGAGAATGGTAGGCGGTCAAGGATGTACGTGCAGTGAAGTGCAGTGGCAGGACAAAAGATAGAAGAATCATATCATATCACGTGGCAGTACTGTTACTCTGGGGAGAGCCACTGGTGGTGTTCTAGAGCCGCTCTTCAATCATGCCGCCCCCCTGATGCCCCGTGCTTTACAGTCCTGACATGCAAAAAGACTCCAGCCACTAAACCACATCCTAAAAGGGTTTCTATTTTCCACTGCTGGAGTAGGATAGCCCTACTAGGTGGAAATCCGAATCTCTTGACTCAGAATAGATCGCCTTTTTCCCTTCGTTTGCGATTCATACATACATTTGGGGAATCTCCGTGGTGTTCAGAAGGCGGAATTCCCACCTCTCTCTTTCTCTTTCTCTCTCTCTCTTCTCTCTCCCCCTCCCTCCCCTCCTCCCTCCCTCTTTTACTCTTACGCCCGCTCCGCTGCGGGTAATAATAATTTCCTTCTAGTCAATTCAGGAGTGCAAGGTCCTACGCTGGCGCCTTGGATCTTCTTTTCTTTTCCCCTCTCTCTTTCTCTTTCTTGATTTCTTCCTCTCATTCGAATCCTCAATTAACGACAACCCCCCGGAAATCGGACGAGTCGTTAGGACGGAAGGAAAGATTATCATTAGCGCTCTTTTCAGCCTACTCTTTCCTCAGCGGATTTCGCTCATGCTGCGCTTTGCATCTCCCAAGCGACGTTCGTCAAGATGCCAACCAGCACGTCTGCGCCTGAAAAATCGAGACAGACCTCCGCTGGGAAGTCGTTCTTTGGGAGGAAGTTGCACAAAGAGAAGTCGGTAGACGAACGATACGACCCGCATGGCTCGCACGATAGTCTGGCGCCTCCTGGAAGCGCCCCCGGGTCTCGCTCATCCCGCCATTCCAAACGGTCGTCCGTCCAGTCCGTGGACTATCCCCACGAGTTTGATCCCAGTGGTGTGTCCATGACCGCAGGTGTCCTGACTTCGATTCCCTACGAGAGCTTGCCCGCCGATACCCGATCGCCTGTCCCCGTCGATCACCTCTCAAGACCTAGTTCGTCCTCACGTAAAGAACCGTCGCCGAACCATCTCGCCAAAGGAAACAGCGACTACCACCAGTACCCGGCATGGAACCCGGCCAGCGTCCCCAACAATAACACCACCACCACCACCACCACCACCACCAACAGCGCTTCGTCACACCCAACTGGCCCCCGGCCACCTCCGCATGGCTTGAATGTGACCATGACGGGAAGTACATCGGGGGATAAGGGTGCTCGATATCAACAGTGGGGACGCCCGGGCAGCTCTGCAGCCAATACTGGCTTTAGCCACAGCTCCTCCTCTACACTAGATTCATCGGCGCAATCGCGCTTGTCCTTCGACCAGCTTAGTGTTCATTCGTCGATGTCATCTAATACTCGGGGTTCGAGCTATTATGCATCAGAGAGCTCTTCGCGCACGCTGACACCTTCGCATTCCGCCGATCGCACAACTTACGCATCAAATGGCAGTTCCGGCCGCCTGTCGAATGCACAGGCAGCATGGCAATCGACCCAGCCCGCTCAACCACCCAAGATTCCGGTTAACCAGGAGCAATATCTCGCCCGACCGAGGGACGATCGAGTGGTGGATCAACTGTTTATCGAGCTGATGCAGAAACGAGGATGGCAGAACCTCCCGGAGCAGGCCAAACGACAGATGCTCGCTTATCCGGCTTCGAAAAAGTGGACCTTGGTGCACCAGGACCGGTTGACGGAGATACAGGGGGAACAGAAGCGGCGGCAGAATGCTCGGCAGACTCACGGCCATGATGGACCCTCGGGTATTCTGGAACGCGCTGATGAGGAGGGAAGCCCCGAGTGGTATGTGAAGAAGGTTATGGACGATTCAATCACCTCGAAACAGCTGGCCAGTCTAAGTGTCAGTCTACGAACGCAGCCAATCAGTTGGGTCAAGGCTTTTGTTGAGGCGCAGGGTCAAATCGCTTTGACAAACGTGCTTGCCAAGATCAATCGAAGGAAGGCTACAGGTGTCGTCCCAGCTCCCCCGACAGGGGATAAGGATCTGGATCGTGAATATGACATCGTCAAATGTTTGAAGGCCTTGATGAACAACAAATATGGAGCGGACGATGCTCTCGCACATCAACAGGTCATTGTGGCTCTTGTTAGCTCACTGCTATCCCCTCGATTGAATACGCGAAAGCTGGTCAGTGAAGTCTTAACCTTTCTCTGTCACTGGGCCGAGGGCCATGGGCACCAGAAGGTCCTCCAGGCTATGGACCATGTTAAGAATCACCATGGGGAAACCGGCCGTTTCGACGCCTGGATGCGTATTGTGGAGGTGACCATTGATGGCCGAGGGAAGATGGGCAGCCTGGTTGGCGCAAGTGAAGAATATCGCAGCGGCGGCATAGGCATGGAGAACCATCTCATGGAATATGCTGTTTCAACCATGCTGCTCATCAATATGTTGGTGGATGCGCCCCAGAGCGATTTGCAGCTCCGCTGTCATATTAGGGCTCAGTTCATTTCTTGCGGCATCAAGCGCCTCATGACCAAGATGGAAGGCTTTCAGTACGAGGTCATCGATAAGCAAATTGAACGGTTCAGGGAGAATGAAGCCATTGACTACGAAGACCTGCTGCAACGGGAGAGCAGCAGTATGAAGGACAGCATCGAGGGCGAGGTCAAGGATATGAGTGATCCTTTGCAAATCACAGATGCCATCACCGCCAGGATACAGGGCACTCGGGCTCATGATTACTTCCTATCGGCCATGCAGCACATGCTCCTGATCCGGGAGAATTCTGGCGAGGATGGTCTTCGTATGTACCAGCTGGTGGACGCTATGCTCAGCTATGTCGCTATGGACCGTAGGCTTCCCGATCTTGACCTCCGACAAGGGTTGACCTTCACCGTGCAAAGTCTTTTGGACCGCCTGCATACAGACTCCGAGGCAAGACGAGCTTACGATGAATCTTTGGAAGCTCGCCAGATCGCGGAGGCTGCTCTTGCGGAGCGCGATGAGATGAAGGCCCAGGTAGAGCTTGGCGCAGATGGCTTGGTTAAGAAGCTGCAGAAACAGATCGATGAACAGACAGGGATCATTGAGCTGCAACGGAGACGTGAGGAAGTGATGCAGGCGGAGCTTGCGGATGTTCAGAGGCTACGGGCTCAAGAGTTACAGCGGAATGAGCTGGAAACTCGAGAACTCTACCTGATGCTCCGAGACGCCCAGGATATAGCTGCATCTACTGCCAAGAAGAGCAACATGGCCGAAGCGGATCCTTCACAGATGAGAGGCATCCTCGACCGAGAGAAGCTCTTGGAGCGATTGGAGATGCAGCTCGAGCGAACCAAGACACAGTTCAAGCTGGAGGGCAAGGTATGGGGTCAACATGTCACCTCAGATAGACTGCGTGAGCTTCGAGAGCAGATGGATGGCGAAGCCGATGCCGACAATGAGTTTGGACAACGGAAAGGTCAAGGCCTGGACGTCAACGCCTTCGGATCGGTTCACCGGAAGAGAAGCCATCTACCGGGCATGGACCAAGACGACAGTTCCGAGATTCGGACGCCAGTCGACGAGTCCGGTGAGGTCGTATACGAAAAAGCACGCCTTGTTGATCTTCATCGACCCAAAGTCAATCCTAAGCAAGCCAACGGTCTCCTGGGAGAAATCGCCTCGAAGGTTCCTAAGATTGACGCTGAGGAGGCTGACGATGCTGTCACAAATGGCTCCGTGGACAACAAACTTGCTGAACCTGGAACAGAAGATCGCCCTGCCAGTTCACAACAAGAAGGAGCCAGGGTCGAGGGTGCAACTGAAAAGGTCGAGAATAAAGGTGCTCCTGCTCCTGCTCCTCCACCCCCACCCCCGCCTCCGCCTCCTCCTGCGCCAGGAGGGCTGGGGTTCGCACCTCCTCCTCCTCCACCACCTCCGCCTCCTCCTCCTGCGCCAGGAGGGCTGGGGTTCGCTCCTCCCCCGCCTCCGCCTCCGCCCCCGCCTCCAGGAGCTGTTGGGATCCCACCTCCGCCCCCTCCGCCCCCTCCTCCTCCACCAGGAAAATCAGGG